TTCTTTCATTCCTTTAAAAAATAATTTAGTTTTTTACATTCTTTTTAACTACCAAGTTTCTAAAAAGATTAATAAATGAACAACCTAATTTTGACAAATCTTTTAAATTTTCCACAATACAATGATGACAACTTTCTTTCACATTCATTTTCTTTAAAAATTTCCATCAATTCCTTGCTTAATTGTAGCTTATGGGTAAGTTCCTTCCAAAAGTCTATAATATAATAAAGTTCAATAGTATTAATAATTAGCTTCAATATTTTATTAAGAATATAAATAAAAGGATGAACCTGATATTTCTTTAACAAATATTGGATCCAAAAGTTTAAATCTACTTCTTGCACATTCTAACTCAGTAGTTAAAACATATATTGATTTTAATTCAATAATATGAAGAAAATTTTGAAAATTTTCCTGTTTATTTTTAAAAATAGAAAATATAAGTATAATGTTGTTATCAGAACGCGATGATTAATTCTTTCAATTATTATAAAATACACCTATGGTGTTTAGCACCATATATAATTGTTTTAAATAAAATTTGGGATTAGGATGCATTTTTTTTTTTTATATTATAATATATATTAGATATAAGATCCCAATTTTAGTTTTTGTAAGGTTTTTGGGGGTCCTGAACATTTTTACTTAGAATATCCGATCCTGTTTACTTAGTACGTTTTTGAGAAATAGAAACCTATGGTGTTGAACACCATAGGTGTATTTTAGTAAACCTGAATTCTTTACCTTTTCAGTATTACTACTTATGAAATCAAATATGCTATGTTTTTTAAGTAACTTTTTTTTAACTTCAGCGACTTTGTCTAATAATTCTTCCTGAATCTCAAAAAATAAAAGTTCATCTTTTATATTTTTATCTGTAATAAATTTACTAAGTTCTTCGTAAAATTTGTTAAATTTGTAGGTACTTTCAGTACAGCTATTAATCCATTCAGTCCATTTGGGCAGATATTCATCAATTTTAGAATCCATTTCATATGAGCAAACACTTTTTAGAATTTTTGATTTAAAATTGGCTAAATTTAAAAGAACGTCACATGCTAAATTAATCATATTATCAAAATCATCGAATTTCAGAGCTTTTTCATCAAAATCTTCAAAATATTCAAGTTGTTTTTTTAATTTTTTGGCGATATTCTTCCGCTTCTTTGGAGGTTGACTTTTCTGGCGACATATTCGCATGCTCTATTGCTTTTTTTAACTGTTTTTGAAGTTCTTCTGACATTTTAAAGATAGTTGCTGCGATTATTAGCTATAATTCAACAAACAATTAGTTATATTACAT